ATCCCAGCCTCATCCCAGCCTGCCCGGGCTGGGCACGTCGGGGGCATGGGCAGGGAAGGAGCCACCACGGCCCCGGTCCTTGCGAGGGGACAGGGATGGGACGGGGCCGAGAAGAGAGTGGGACCCCCTGGATGGCTCGGGATGGGACACGGGATGGGACACGGCAGCGGGGCCACATCCTGCCCCCCTTTGGGGTGCAGGGGATGGGGGATCAGAGGGAGTTCTGGGGTGCAAGCAACAGGGGTGAAGTGTTGGGGGGCGTTCAGGGGTGCAATCAATGGGGTGAAGCATTGGGGTGCATTGAGGGGGCGAAGTTTTGAGGTGCTGTCAAGGGGTGGAATCAGTGGGGTGAAGTACTGGGGTGTATTTAGGGGTGCAATCAATGGGGTGAAGTACTGGGGTGGGGTGCATTGAGGGGGTGAAGCTTTGGGGTGCTCTCAGGATGTGGAATCAATAGGGTGAAGTACTGAGGTGCATTCGAGGTGCTATAAATGGGGTTAAGTTTTGGGGTGCACTCAACAGGGTGCATTCACAGGGAGGGCATGTTGGGGTGCACATCCTAGGGATGGCATTCCAGGGAGTTTCTAGGGGGGGATTGGAGGGCAGGCACTAGGGATGGTGTATTGAGGGGTACCCAAGGGGTGTGTTCAGTAGGGATAGGGAATTGGGGTGCATTCCCCAGGGATGGTATTTTGGGGGTTATCTAGGGGTGTGCATTCATTGGGGATTGAGGACTGGGATGTACCCACTTGGAATGGGGAACTGGGGGGCATCCAGAGGGATTGGGATGGGGAATTGGAGTGCATTCCCCAGGGAGACCCCACCAAGCTGCCCCCCACTCCTCCTTCCTGCCCCCTCCTCGGCTGGGGGTCCCGGGGGTCTCACCGTGGGCAGTGCCCGTGTCCCTGTGCCCGGTCAGGAGGCGCCGCTGGCTCAGGACCTGCTCCAGGTCGCGCAGCTTCTGCTCCTCCCGCAGCGCCGCCGTTTGTCGCCGCTTCCGCAGGCGCCGCCCGATGTTCTGCTCGTGGCACAGGCGGCGAGAGGCCTCGGCGATCCGCAGCTGCAGCGCCCGTTCCCGCTCCAGGGGGTCCTGGGCACGGGGAGGGGGGTCAGGAACACACCGTGAGACCCCAACATCGCCCGGAGCTCTCGGAAACACGGCAGAGCCCACCCTGACAGCCCGACAGCACCCAGAGCTCTGGGAAACACGGTGGTACCCACCCTGACACCCCAACACCATCCAGAGCACTTGGCACCCCAACAAAACCCATATCACTGGGAAACATGGTGGTACCCACCCTGACACCCCGACCGCACCCAGCACATCGGCACCCCAACACATCCCATCACCTCAACACCCCAACACATCCCAACAATACCCATCATCTCACCCTGACACCCCAACAACCCCCACAGCACCGGGAAACACGGCAGCCCCCACCCTGAGAGCCCAACAGCACCCAGCACCTCAGCACCCCAACACCCACCATCGAGCACAGAACCCCAACATCTCCCAGCACCTCGCTGCCCCAACACCTCCCACAGCACTTGGGACCCCAACACATCCCAACCACACCCACAGCGACACCCACCGTGACACCCCAACACTGCCCAGAGCACTGGGGAACATGGTAGAACCCACCGTGACACCCCAAGACCACCCAGAACCTCAGCACCCCAACACCACCCACAGTGACACCCGTCCTGACACCCCAACAGCACCCACAGTGCTTGGAAACACAGTGACACCCCCCATGACAACCCAGCACCTTCCAGCCCCTCGGCACCCCTGCGTCTGTGGAACCCCAACATCTCCCACCACCTCACCTGGACGGCCCAGTACCTCCCAGAGTGCCTGGAACCCCAACACCACTATCATGCACGGAACCCCAACATCTCCCAACACCTCTGAACCCCAACATCACCCACAGCACCTGGAACCCCAACATCTTCCACAGTGCTTAGAACCCCAACATCTCCAACGCCTCTGCACTCCAACAGCACCCACGGTGCCTGGAACCCCAACACCACCATCACACATGGACCCCCAACATCTCCCAACACCTCAGCACCCCACAGCCCCCATCACTCCTGGAACCCCAACATCTCCCATCCCGCTGGAGACCCCAACAGCACCCACAGCACTTGGGACTCCCACACTTCCCACCCCCTCAGCGTCCAAGCTGACATCACACATGGAACCCCAACACATCCCATCTGCTCAACATCCCAGCACCGCCCGCGGCACCTGGAACCCCAACATATCCCATCACCTCGACACCCCAGCACCACCCATGGCACCTGGAATCCCACCTCCTCTCATCCCCCCAGCACCCCAACACCACCCATCACATTTGGGATCCCAAATCCACCCGCAGCACCTGGAATCCCAACACATCCCTTCACTGGGCACCCCGGCACCCCAACAGCATCCTGGGCGCTGGTAACCCCCACCCACGGGATCGGGACAGCGACATCCTCATGGGAGCCCTGGGCATCTTCCACAGCCCCGGGATGGGATGGGATGGATGGGATGGGTGGGATGGAATGACACGGGATGGGGATGGGGTGGGATGGCATGGGGAGGCATGGGATGGCATGGGACGGCATGGGATAGCATGGGATGAGGAGGGGTCCCCACCCCTCCCCTTTGCACCGTGGACCCCTCACCACTCCATGCAGGACAACGATCTCATCCAGTTTGAAGGCAGCCCCGATCCGGCGCCGCACCTTGGGGGGCTTCTCCCCGGCCTTCAGGGGGTACTCGCGGGGCAGCGTCCCCGTCAGCTCCTGGGACAGCACAGGGACACTGAGCGGGGACACTGCGGGGACACTGAATGGGAACACCACGGGGACACTGAGCGGGGACATTGAGTGGGGACACTGAGCGGGGACACTGCAGGAACACTGAGTGGGGACACCACGGGGACACCACAGGGACACTGAGTGGGGACATTGAGCTGTGCCACCATGGGGACATTAAGCAGTGCCACTGTGGGGACACTGAGCTGTGTCACTGCAGCGGGAGGAACAGGGCAGGCAGGGGGTCTCCGTGCTCGGGGTGGGGTCGGACCGCGGGTCCCTGTGCGCCACTCGTGGGGACACCGAGCGGGGGGGCCACCGAGGCCTGAGCGGGGGGGTCACCCCGGGGGTCCAGAGCCCCTCTCAGGGTTAGGGGGGTTCACATAGGGGGTCCCGAGTCCCTCTTAGGGCTGGG